TAAGAACGGCCGTACTGGGTCAGACCAAAGGTCCATCTAGCCCAGTATCCTGTCTGCCAACAGTGGCCAGCAACAGGTGCCCCAGAGAGGGTGGACCAAAGACAATGATCAAGTGATTTGTCTCCTGCCATCTCTCTCCAGCCTCTGACAAACAGCGGCCAAGGACACCATTTTATCCCCTGGCTAATAGCCTTTTATGGACCTAACCGCCATGAATTTATCTAGCTTCTCTTTAAACTCTATTATAGTCCTAGCCTTCACAGCCTCCTCTGGCAAGGAGTTCCACAGGTTGACTACACGCTGTGTGAAGAAGAACTTTCTTTTATTAGTTTTAAACCTGCGACCCATTAATTTCATTTGGTGTCCTCTAGTTCTTCTATTTAGGACGGACCCTTGGGATACACCACTAGTTACCCCTCTCCAATCTGAAAATTTACCATTTATTCCTACCCTTTGTTTCCTGTCTTTTAACCAGTTCGCAATCCAAGAAAGGACCTTCCCTCTTATCCCATGGCCATGTAATTTACACAAGAGCCTTTGGTGAGGGACCTTGTCAAAGGCTTTCTGAAAATCCAAGTATACTATATCTACTGGATCCTCCTTGTCCGCATGTTTGTTAACCCCTTCAAAGAACTCTTAACAGATTAGTAAGACAGGATTTCCCTTTACAGAAACCATGTTGACTTTTGTCCAACAAATTATGTTCTACATGCTTCACAATTGTATTCTTTACTATTGTAAAGTAGCAGACAGCTACTGCTCGGTGGCACACCAGTTCAGGGTGGGCAACGTCCACAGTGGGTGCCATCTTGATGCAGATAAGGCCCTTGGGGAGGGCTCCACTCCCTGCCCAGAGGAAGACTCCAGGCTGGGGGGGATGAAGCAGGCATGGCCATACAGTCAGTCTGCATGAGGTTGCACATGCTGTGTTCTGCTGGATGGTGTGCAGTTCAATCTGCCTGAGTGATGCTCTTCCCAACCACCCACCCACCCACCCGGCTCCCCTGCCTTTGCAAGGGAGAAGCGCAACACTCACCGAAGGATCTGTCCACAGCCTTGGATGAGGCCCAGGAGACATCCTGGCTGTTGGGCACTGGCTCCAGGTGGAGGGTGACGATGCTGCTGCAATCCTCTCAGTTGTTCTCTGAGCCAGTGGTTAGGTCGCCTTCCTCCTCCACGTCAGGCGGCCTGGTGCGCAGTCCAGTGTCCACTGCTGGCGAGAGCCCTTGGACCGCCCAGGATGGCCTACAAGCAGTCATAATGGGGGCAGGTGTCAGCTCCTGCTCCCACCGCCCTCACGTAGCCCAGGCGCAACTCCTTAACCTTGGCCCCGGCCGGATGGCCCTGGTCTGTGAGCACCTGGGCCATGCGGCTGAAGATATCAGCGTTGTGGCACCAGGACCGTGGGTCATGGAAGGCTTCCTTCTGCACCTACAGGTCCAGGAGGGCCTCCACCTTGGCCCTGGACCAGCAAAGGGCTTGCTGCTTGCTGCCCCTCTGGGCCTGCTGGGGGCTCCGAGATGGCTGCTGGGAGGAGGGTGCAGGCTCACAGGGTGGCTCTGGAACAGACATCTGGGGCTCCTGGTTGCAGCAGGGCAGACTTGTGAGGTGGAGAGCTGCCAGCAATGCTGCTGCTGCTATGCAGTGTCTGCAGCATGCCTGTGTCTTTAAGGCGGGGGTCCGGCCAGCAGGAAGCAGCGAGCTATGAGTGCGGGTATTGAGCACCCGAATGCCCATCTGCGTTTTTCCTGGGAGGCCAGTTCTTGCGCAAAAACTCCCTGCTGCTTGTCTACACAGCCCGCTTGAGCAAGCGGTCTTCTTCCTCATATGGCACGTCCGAGCTCTTGCCTTCTTTTCCTACGCTGTACTGTAAATTTACTTGCACAAGAACTCACATGCACTGTAGCCGCTCTGCAAGCTTTTGTGCAAGAACAGCCATTCTTGCGCAAAACGCCTGCAGTGTAGACGTAGCCCAAGTGTGATGGGGTGTTTGCTCTAATACTGTGTACTGTAAATTCAGCCCAGATAAAGTAGGAATTTAAGATTACAGGCACCTGTTTCAAAGTAGTATGCAAACACTCCTACATGTGCCATCACATCAGCCTGGTTGTATTTCACAGATTCATAGTGTGTGGGGGAGGAGTCTCTGCACAATATCTGACTTGTAAAAGGCATTTAAAGGCTAAGTTTAACCATAGTGCTACCTTAAAGAATTTCCCAAAGCTGTAGATGTTAAAGAACTACCTTTTCCAATGGAGATGAGACCTCAAGAGTACAGCAAGCCATGTGGCTAATAACTGCACACACTTTAAAAGGAGAAAAGCTCCTGAAGCATATCCTTGGGTTCTACTTTCAAATGTGGCCACTGTAGCATGGCACAATCCCACATATACTTGATCTTACAGGGGCTCCCCAGTGCTGGATCCATAACTAGTTTTAGGGTTAGAAGGTGTCCCCCAAGGATTATAACTAATGTGAAAGTGTTGACAGGCAGTTCTATTAAATACTTCGTAAAGTGCCTTTCTTCTAAAGAACAGGTTGTATGTCCTTCACATGTTTGCAAGTCTCTGTATTAAAAGCACAATAAGGACACATCATGAAGTACATCTGATCCTACATAAATATCTTAATCTTCAGCTCCATCATTAGCTAGTGTAAAATTGTTCTCAACCTTCTAAGTGACCAGTTTTACAGGCAGGAAAGTAATCACTCTGCTGTCTAAAATCCTGATTTATTGCTATGCCTGATGAAATAAAAACACCTACCCCAGAACTATCTAAAATTGAACACTTCTGTTTTAATTAATGGGCCCTATTTCAGCAAGATAGTTTTTTTATGATGAAGTTCTGTCCATCTTCTCGTAGATCAGCATGGAGTGAAAGACAAAGCCACTTGGCGTCTGACAACTGTACAGGGCCTATCACCAATTTATGATGGAGAATTGCATTCTTAATATCACCTATCACATGCAAGAGTCTGAAGTGATCTACTGTCTATTGTTTAATAGAGAAGTTATTCTGATTCCTTTTAAGAATACAGCATTCAATACAACCCATGAAGGCAGGATGTAGTATACTAAAAAGCCCTGCAAATATTGTTGTGAGAAAACAAGACCTCCATTTTGAACCAGTATATTTTGCAATCAAATGCACAGAAATAAGATGTACTATAAAAATAAAGAATTGTAAGCCCATTTAAACATATTGGTGATTATTAGCAGGAAACTGGATAAGCCATAATCTCAAGGGAAGCACACAATGTCAGACTGACGGGTCAAAAGGCTACAGTGTTATCTTAAAACAGAACTCAACTGTTGCCCCACCACAAATCCCATCCCAAATACAAATCAGGCCAGCTATAAACTGTTTTCTAAGGGAATCAGAAGGCAGTTATGCACATCCCTGCTGGAAACAAATCTCACACACGCCGCTTCTTGTCATGTAAGCCCTCCGTGGGGGATTCTTCTGCACAGAAGGCAGAAGTCTATTTTGTTAAATGATCAAAGTTAGATAGTTACTATGATATAAATGCAGCAGAAAATTCCATTGCATTAGAACGTTTGTGTCCTAAAGAAAGGCAAGGTAGATTAGGATCAATAGTTGTTTTCCAAAAAGAATCCATCTTTGCTAAGGTAAAGAAAGACTCTCTTCTCCTGTCTATTTTATTCTTGTTCTGAATGAAATAAATGAGCCATCTGCTAGATATTTTAGCAAGTCAACCATTTATAAACTGATGGTTGTTTTTCCATTTACCTTTAAAAACAGCACAAGGGAAAACAAAGACTTCACAAGACAGAATAATCACTTCTACAGCAATTAAACTGCTTTAGTTACCCAGATACAGGATTAACAAAAAGGTTCTAACCACTGACAGTGTACAGCTAATTTAGACCAAGTACTAAAAAAGTTCAGGGCTCCTGAAATGAAATGAAAATTGAGAAAAAAAATCACATTCAGCATACGTGGACTCGTCAAAGCACGAACACAAGAGCTCTTCTTCTAAGAAGCATGCTCCAAAGCTCATTAAAAACAAAGTTATGGTTTCCAGAGTTTCAAGAGGCCATCTTCACTGTAGGTAGCAATCAAGTTCTGATGGGGATGGTGAGCGATGCCAATTACATCCTTTTCATGAACCTACAGGATGAACAGAAAAAAATGGATGCAGGTCTTCTCTACATATCACCCCAAGCCAAATAATAGTCTCAAATAAAAG